GTAAAAATCATATAAATGAAAACAAATAAATAAAATTACAGGAGAAACTGTCAAATTTTCTCTACTGCATCTTAAAGTTGGAGACAACTTACTTGAATAAGTAAAATATAAGTTATTTGGCATTATCTTGCCCATCTAATTCTTTGTATAGTATTTTCACAATAAAAAATAAATAAAAATTAAATATATATATATATATATAGAAGTTATTTGGGAATAATAATAACAGTTGATGTTTACTGGTGGGATACCTACTTAATTTGGAAACATTTAAGTGTTGAACAAATGCTTTTATCCAGAATAGTGCTCTGAATATCATTATTTTCCCATTCTAAACTACAGAAGACAAGAAAAAGATACACTAAAAAAATCAACTAAGCTAGTAAATGGTGGGAAGAATAGTTAAACCGAGGCTATTTACAAGATCTTGTACACTAAATGTCACACTAGGGGAAAAAAATACACACTAGAAATAAATAGAATTGAATTTCAAACTCAAATGTCTAACATATAAAGTATAACTAGAGAATAATGGCAACCTCCCTTGACAACGTAAACTTTTCTTTAAACTGTGGTTATGGAGCCCTCATAGGGCTAACTTAAGGATCAAATGGAAGGAATATGAAGCCTCCAACAGGAAATGTAAGGCTTTAAAAGTAATTTAATCAAGAGACCCCATGTGATACTGGAGAACTCATATCCTTTGAGCTAGTCTGACATTTGTCTATCTCTTAAAGTATGAGTCTGGAACGTAATTGTGAGGTGCATCATGTATAGAGCTTGTGTGTTCTGAGTGTGTATGTATGCATAGATGATGTGTGTATAGTTGTGTGTGCATGTGTGTGGAAGACATGTATAGATAAAGGGGGTGCATACATATGTGTATGTGCACGTAGAAGGTGTGTGTGGGTATATGTACAGAGGACATATATACATAGAAGTGTGTGAGGGAAGGTATATATAATTACCACTAGGAATTTTGAACATATAGATTTTTTTAAGCCTGGAAAGCTCGGCTTCATTTGATGTTCATCATTAAAATGTTTTCCAATGGGTGTAGAATAAAAGTTCCACAAATGTCTTGCAGATTATAATATTTTTATTTCTAATATAAAAGCTTTCATTTTAAATTTTTTTTATTATTTTTAAGAAGTTGTCCAAAAGAGTTGCCTTTCACCAAATCAGTTTATGAATACTTAAATGAAACAACAATGGCAGAGAATCTTGCAAGAGAAGCGAAAGTACAGAAGACACTCTTGCTCCAATTTTGTTTTTACACTTATGTGTTGGTTGGTTCATTACTTTTTTCAGTACTGAGGCTTGAAATCAGGACCAGGCCCCATCTCTTAGTGTTTTTTTTTTAATCAAGGCTGGAGCTATACTACTTGAGCCACTCATCCACTTCCAGCTTTTTGCTGCTTTATTGGATATAAGAGTCTCAGACTTTTCTGCCTGGGCTGACTTCAAATTGTGATCCTCTGGTCTTGGACTTCTCAGTAGCTAGGATTACAAGTGTGAGCCACCAGCATCCAGCAACTTGATCCAGTTTTAGGGTAATTATATACACCTTCCCTCACACACTTCTACGCCCCATTCCAGTCACAAAGCAAGCTTATACGTAGTAACATGATTATTGTATTGTGATATTTGGATAGGCTTAATCTGATTTTCACAATTTTCTTAGTTCATGACATTCTGAGTTTTATTTTCTAAAACTGTTAAGTATTCATTGAAACATAGCTTTGTAGATGGGAGGTTTCATGTGTATTGCCAACATGTGCATCCAAGTGTCAGACCTATGACTTTATGATAATTAAAAATGTCTTATTGTTTTGAGAAAAAGGATTTGAAAATCAATTCTCATTTCTTTCTAGACCTTCTTTATTGTATTATTCAGATAACCAATCAGTGACAACCTTTGACAGAGTTGCTCCAAAAGCAAAAATGATAGAACAAAGCTTGCGAATCCCAGAAAGTATCAACTGTCCATCTTAATATCGAAAATATAGCAATCAGATATAACACTTATTTTAGTGCTGCCTAGATTGTTAAAGCCAAGTTGAGGTTTCATTGTCATTTAACTTGGGAAGTCTAACTTCTGATGATACGCACTTGAACTACAATGACTAAGAATGTTTCAGAAAAGAGTGACATTTTATAGATACTATTTTTAGGTGAAAAGTAATCTGCAATTTTCATTTTTACAAACGAATTCCTGTAAGGAAAGTATAACACTTAACTTCAGAAAAAATGCATACTTACTAAAGCTGACTGAAGTACATGAAAATGAATTAAACTTGGGAAAAAAACCCTCGAATTTCAGAACTGCTGACATCCATATTTAGAAAAAAATAACCTATACACAATTTTTCAGGATCTGCTTGGTCCCAGGAACTCCTTCACCAACAGGACTTGCTTAGCTTCTTCTTTACCTTTTTATCATTTTTTTGTTTTGGTAGGTTGTGGGGCTTGAATTCAGGGCCTGGACGCTGTCCTTGAGCCTCTTTGTGCTCAAGGTTAGCTCTCTACCACTTGAGTCACAGCACCACTTTCCAGTTTTTGAGTGGTTAATTGAAGATAAGACTTGAGGACTTTTCTATCCTGACAGGCTTCAAACTGCAATCTTCAGATCTCAACCTCCTGAGTAGCTAAGATTATAGGCATGAGCCACCAGCAGACAACACTTCTTTCCTTTTTGAAGCACTCAGCAATGATCTCCCCAATCCTCACACCATCAACTAGTGGTCCTTCAGCTTCTTCAAAGGACATCCTTTCCAACCTTCCTCAGTAATTTCTATTCATACTTGCTCATTGCATTTCCTCTGCTGTGTCTCCATGTTCTGTCTCTAATCCTCTTCTCTGTTTCCATGTTGTAGCTTACTCTGTGGTGTGCAGCTAGTCCCAAGTGACAGAGATCACATATAAATCTCCCAACTACAATTATCTTCCCAAATCTCCAGCAAACATTCCTGCTCTGTATCAGTTCCACACTCTCTTTGGGGCGGGGCGAGGATCCTCTTCATATACTTGCATTCACTCCTTACTTTTCTTCAGCCTGGTCATTCGTAGGTATCTTTCTGGTTTTTCATTTTAGAGTTCTTCCAGACTTAAAAAACATTATTCTTCCTGAATTCTTTTCATGACTGTCTGATTCTTCTGCCTATCTACTCTCCCCTCATTTACTTGAGTTACCTGACCACCAGAATCTAGTCACGTCGCTATCTTGATATAAACCTTTGCAACCTCCTTGTAGCTGATCGTGTTAATTCAGATAGTCTCTGAGTTTTTCCATCCCTTTTCTCAGCTTCTTCCAACTCATCTCCAGGTCTCATCTCTCAGTGCTGTACTTCCAGAACATTGACATTCTCAGCTTCCTCCTCAGGCTTCTCCTTCTGAGATTCTGCTTCCATCCCTGCTACCAATTGCTTGTCAGCTTTATTGTCATCGCTCACATTTCCTAACCACTCAGCTTCTCTTGAGCGTCACTGTTCCCACTGTTAATGATTCATGCTTCCATGACATAATGTGTTAAGAGCTGTGTGCACTCCTAACTTCACTTTGCTGATCTGTATGCTACTCAAGTTCCAGCAAAAAAAAATCCGATAAATATGTACTAGGGATTGCACTCAGGTTCTTGCATATGCAAAGCTAGTCATACTCTGCTGCTGAGCTACATTTCCAGACTTTAAAATAATCTCAATGTAAGTTCAATATCCAATATATACTCGATATATATGTATATATAAATGTGAATTCACATACATTATATGTACCTATAATATGTGTATATTCACATATATTATCTTTTAGGAGTTGTACAAAGGAATTTTCATTCAACCAAGCGGTTTTTGAATACAACCCATCTTGATCAGTGTGACCTTTTATCATTTTCTCCCACCCGTCCCAACCCATCCCTCCCTACAATTTTCTTAATTTTGTAGGATATGAATTCAATTTTATGACTATATTCTCTTCATTCATTCTTCATTTGTCTACTCCTTAGGTTAATCTCCCCACTCACCTTTCAACTATTTGTTTCTGGTGTTTAATTTAGATTGTGTGTTAGCCTTTCAAAGGAATTATACTAGCTGGGTGCCCATGGCTTATGCCCTGTGATCCTAGCTATTCAGGAGGCTGAGATCTGAGAATTGCAGTTCAAAGCCAGCCGGACAGGAAAGTCTGTGAGAGTCTTATCTCCAAATAACCACCAAAAACTGGAAGTGGCGCTGTGGCTCAAATGGTAGAGCACTCACCTTAAGCTGAAGAGCTGAGAGACAACACCCAGGCCCAGAGTTCAAGCTCCACCATCAAAAACAAAAACAAAGGAAGTATACTATTTCAATTCTCCTCTGTGTGTGTGTGTGTGTGTGTGTGTGTGTGTGTGTGTGTGTGTGTGTGTGTGTGCCTATACTGCAGCTTGAATTTAGGATCTAGTGCTTTCCATTAGCTTTAAATTTTTCTCTCAAGGTTGATACTCAACGTCAGGAGCCACGTCTCCACTTCCAGCTTCTTTTTCTCATTAAAAAAATTTTGTAAAGACAAATTTTATTAACCTTAAATAATTGTACAAAGGAGGTGGCATTCCACAAGCAGTTTATGAGCACAGTGCATCTTGATCAAGTCACACCTTAAAGCATTCTCACCCACCATGCCTAAAATACCCCTCCTCCTCACTTTTCTTGATTTTGTAGGCTATGTATTGAATTATTTTGCCATTTAACAAAGCAGTGTATGTACACAGTGCATCTTGATCTGTGTCATCCCTACAACATCTTCACCCCCTTTCCACCCATCCCTTTCCTTATTTTTCCGATTCTGTGGAATATAAAATGAATTACTCACTGCATTCCCCCTAACCATCCCCCCTTATTTGCCTACCACTTTGCCAATGCCTTCCCCTTGCCACTGCCTCCTGGGAGGTGAAGTGAAAAGATTGTTAGGTGAACTGAAGCTCCTGCAGGTGCTAGGCTTCCTGCTAATGGTAAGTAAACAGTTCACCCTGTTCTGGCTCCGGCCTTGACTATTGATGAGGCTAGAAGTAGAAGAAAAGATGGGGGTAGAAGTCAAAAGCTTATATTGTTTATTCGAGGGAAGGGCCCATTTCCTGGTAGTTATTTCAGTGGGCTTTGACTTACTCTTTCTAAAGAATTATACTCTTTGAGTTCTCCATAGAGGTTACTATTCTTATACTAATTAATTTGTTACTGTTTGCATACCACCCACTGTGCTTATAGAATTATAAGCTTTTTGGTGGTTAATTGGGCATAAAGTCTTATGGAAGACTCAGCTACACCATTTTTAAATGTTATATATTTATATATTTTAATATTTTGTAAAGACAATTTATTCCTTTGATATAACTTATTTGTCTAAGTTATAAATATGCATTTGTCTTGTTTTATTTCTGTTGCATCTTAGTGACATATCCATAGAGATTTTCTTGTTAAATTAAAATACATCAAACTTCTTGGCTATTTTAGGACTGTCTATTTTCAGGTCTGTGTCTATTGATAGCTATCACTTTGTACTGTCCATGGTGTATCTTTATTTAGAAGATATAAACCCAAACTTTCTTTGACACTTAATTAATTATGAGAATACAGGGGGATACCTTGTCATAATTATGCGTAAAGTAAAAAAGTCTATGAAGACTTAGAGTCTGCTATAAACCAATATTTGTGATCTTCAGTGCTTATACCATGTCTCTTTCATTTGAAAAAATTAACATATACTTTGATATTCTATCTGAGATTTCTAGTTGAATGATATAATGAATATGGTCTTAAAACATAGTCATCCATGTATCAATACAAAATGGTATGTTGATTTTTATCAACTCTTTAGCATTTTATTTTCTTGGGATTCAAATGGAGAAAAGCTCCTATCCTCTATCTAGATTTTTGGTAGAGATGCTAAATGCAGAAATAAACAATTATAAAATAATGTGGCTGCACAGTGAGGGGGTGAGTATGAAAATGTAAAGTCAAGAATCAATGTTTCTCTATATGGTGATAAGAAGAATGAATTTTAGGTGATTTACTAAAGGAAGTTGAGAAATTCTTGTCTACTATACATTTTAAAACTCATTTGCCCAATGTTTAGGGGGAGAAAAAGTGCTGATCACATGTGAAATTTCATAATAGTCTCTTTAGATAATTCTGATCTTTTCTACCTGTACCTACGGAGGGAGCTCCTATAAGAAAGAAAAGATCCTCACTCTTTCCACAACTTGGAGTTGTAGAAATCATCAGAGAAGATATATGTAAATTTGGGGTTGAATTTCCAGGGATTTGTAGTCTTAGTAGGATTCTGGAAGAAGAAACTAGTATCTAATTGCGTAGAGTATTAAGAACACAAAGGGCAAGGTGACATTAGGAAGTGTGAGAAAACGGAACAAAGGCTGCCAGAAAGCTTGGCTGAGATTACTCATGCTGGGTCACAGATTACACGTGCCTCACAAAAAATTGTGACTTGTATTTTTTATGAGGAGGCTACTGTGGTGGCTGAAGCTGGTTCCAGGTGGATATTTTCACACTTGCTATTCTTGGTGGTATGAGTCAAACAGGATACTGCCCTGAAATGTAGCTAAAACCCTGGGTCTGGGGCACTGTGGGGAACAAAGATGAATAGGCGGTAGCTGAGGAATTATAGAAAGCTTTTAAAGCAATGAACATCATCCTCCTTGGAGCCACTGGTGTCTCAGAGATCTTAAATTTCCAAATATAAAATAATAATGCCCATATTGTCTGGGAAAGGGGAGGCAATTGTTTTGTAATTACCAAGTACATTTTCACAAGTGTCCATTGACTCTGTCCTGTTTCTTAGGAATATTTATTTATGCCCACAGATGTGATGTGAATGTCAACATTGATGGTATTAATGCTTTTCAATTTTAATCACATTTTGACACTAGTATTTTATCTGGTCAGTTATTGCATAATACCCCTTATGGTAACTGTGAGGCACACATGGTTATTAGAAAACATAAGCTAATTAAGATAGATATAGATTGCATAGCATTTTTAGTCCTTATGTTGTTGGGGTAGTAGAGCCAGAATTGTTCACCAGATCTGATTGACCCTGCAGTAAAACTCTTTGTTTTAGAATTACAATGATATCAGTAGTAATTACGAACCTTACGTGCTTCAGTGAACACAGCATGGTATAATATGAAAACAGACAGGTTGAGGGGTAATATTCTAATATATGTTTACTTTAAGCACAATACAGAGGAGAACAAAGACAGCATGAGTCCAGAGACTCCTGCTTCAATAGAGAGGCACCAATACCTCTCTATTGAGAGCTATTTAAACAATAAGGACATGACACCATTTTAATGCAGAAGGTGGAGTCAATTTTAAGTTAAGGGTGAGATTTTAAGAGCTAAAATACTTTAATCCTAGAAGAGCACAAGGTTTAAGGTTAAAGACATTCTCTATATTTGATAAGTCTAGAAGTTCATTGTTTTCTGCTTCATTGCTATGTGGTAGTGCTCACGGTTTTAACTTATTTTGGCCTTTTCACAGTCATTACAATAGAGATTACAATACAACTGACCACAATAACTACTTAGTACAGGCTTTAGTATACATAATATTGGTCCCAAGGACCTGTAAAATAAAGCATAATTAAAATGTATTGTCCTAATTCTATACCCATCGCCTTCATGGATTGGCAGGGCAGAAACTCAACATTTTTCAGTCAGTAATGAGCTGAATACTTTAAGAAATTGGATAATATTCTTTATATATATATGTATATATACACACATTTTTATTGTAAAAGGACTGTACAGAGGGGTTACAATTACATGAGGAAGGTAATGAGTACATGTCCATTGAACATTGTTACCTCCTCCTTTGTTTTTCTTCTACTATCCCTTCTCTCCCCACCTCCCCGCCTCCTCCCCCACCAAGTTGTAAAGTTTGTATTCAACATAGTGTCTTGTACATCTCATTGTTTCAATGGGTCCACCTGTATCCTTATTTCAGCATTTTGTCATTTCCCTTCCCCTCCCCAGATTAGAAAAATGTATATACAAGATTCAAGGCACCGACATCAAATACAGTGAAAACAGGGGTTATGGGATAATGTTCTTTTAGCTCCATTAAAATGTAATATTTGTGCATGTTTTCTCTTGATCACAACCTGTAGTAAAATCAAATAAATATCTTAAATCACAAACATACTGAACTTGAAATTAATAAAAAACTATATTGCATTACTGAGATGTGATTATTTAAATGACTTCCAATATTTGAATAAATAATTGATCACCACATATTACATTTCAGTTATTAGCTAAGTGGAAACATTTTATGCAGAATCCCTACATAAAAAGGGAATATGAATAAACTGATGCTTATTTGCATAATTTACTTAATTCATATTAAGTACTATTAAATGTTCCATGATTTCTTTTTTATAGTTATTTTTAAAATTAATAGTAACCAGATTTTAAACTGCAGATTACATTCCTAATATACTGTGACCTTTAATTTTATGAAGGCAAGCATTTAAAATTTAAAGTACTAATCATATAAGCTAAAAATGTGACACTACACAATTTATTATCTATTGACTCAAATGTAAATTATATATTTACACAATTATATTGAAAACATTTTATTTTGCTAAAAATAGACCAGATATATTTAAAGCAGTTTTATTCAATTCAATAGTAGCATAAAAATACATTTAATTCCAAAATTATTCAGTGACTAAGATAAAAAGTAGTGATCTTGCAAGAGCAGAATAACATTTTTAAAGTAGAAATAATTATATTATATGTATATTTACTAAACATAATGTTTTCTTAAATACTTTTGGCTAAGAAATAATTTTATGGATAATTAAAGACATTTTATTTCCTTTGGCTCTATTTTAAATATACAAATGAATTGTCATTAGTTTTCATAGACTGACAGAAATGAAAAAGATGACCATTTTCTCCTTTATGTGGTTTTGAAAAATCATGCCATTTTGTTGCCTATGATGGCAAATCATTGAGCTAATTCTCTTTGAGAAAGATTCTGTCCATGCAAAACAATATTCAGCCCAATAAAAACATTACAGGAATTCTTAAAGATGTTAATAAACCTCTTTTCTTTTCTTTTTTCTTTTATTGTGAAAATACCATATAGAGGGATTACAATTACACGGGCAAGCTAATGAGTATATTTCTTTTCAAGCATTGTTGCCTCCTCCTTTGTTTCCCCTTCCCATCCCTCCCAATCCCCACTCCCTTCCCACCAAAGTTGTGAAGTTCAATTTTTGACATAAAGACTTGTACATTTCATTGTTGCAATGGGTCCACCTGTATCCCTAGTTAAACGATTTGTTTTTTCCCTTACCCTCCACAAATTATAGCAACATGCAATACAGTGAAAGCAGGGGTTATACCATGGGGAAGGGACATACAAAGCAACAAAGAAATAATCTTATAAATATGTTAGAAACAATCGCATGAAAGAAAAAAAAAACATTTGAATACTTATCTTGGGGTTTAGTTCACTTAACATCAACTTATCTGTCCTTTTCTGCTTGTCTCAGACGTATACTAGTTATTGCAAATTAAAATCAAATCTAGTCAAGTTAAATGCCATAAAAAGTCAGGTCAAACAATCCCCAGATCTTAATCCTTGAACTGTCCGATCTGAGTCAATGCAGGCATTTATCAGCCCTGGACATTAATGGAATCAGAGCCAGTATCAAGATTCATCCAGATTATGTCATTATGAGGCTGTTGGATATGCTAAGCTAAAGAGTAATGATTTTGTGCTAAAAAAGTTATTGCAATGACACAAAGAACGTCCATAAGAGCTGAAGACCTTTAGTGTGCCTTCACCTTCTAAACTAACATGCAATCTGTGCTGCATACTATCTAATACTTCATACATCACACGTTTGGAGAATCTGCCAGAGGGTGAAATAAAATTTAAAAACCTTATTAAAGAAGAAACAAAGGCTTGAGGGACCTTCAGTTGTAGATTGAATCTGCTCTGGGATTGTGTTCATAGATTATAGATTGAAAATGCATATGAGTAGATACAATGACTTTGGAAAGTAATCCTGAAGGATCAGACACTTCCACGATGTTCTCCT